GCAAGAACAGCCAGTGTTCTTAACCACTGAGCCATCTCTCCAGCCCTAATTTTTCTATTTTAATACTACTAGCATGGAATTAGGCCACTGAATATTTTGTGCTGATAAGATTGTAAATTGGTGCAACCTATTTTGAGAACATATTGATGCCTAATTCACAGGTGCACTTACTTATATGCAGGTAATACACACATACACATAAAATAAAAATAATAAAATTTTAAAAAAAGAAGCAGGCAGATCTTAATGAGTTCAAGGCCATCCTGGTCTACATAGTGAATTCCAGGCCAGCTGGGGCTACAGGTCGAGACCCCGGCTCAAAAAGACCAATAAATTAAGTAAATAAATAAATAATAAAAATTTAAAAAGAACATGAATTTGAGAGAGAAGTACCTGGGATCACTTCCAGTTCTGCCTTGAAATGATAATGTCACTGGACCTCAGTTAATTCATCTATAGTATGAAACTTATACTAGCTGTATTAGTCAGAGTTCTCCAGGGGAAAAGCACTGATAGAATGAATATATATTTTAAAAATTTATTAAATCAGATTGCATTGATAGAATAACAACAGTTGTTTCACACCTGAGAGGCAAAGAACCCGGTAATTCCTTGAGACTGAATGGACACCTCAACAGCTATAATCTAGTGTCAAAGACCTGGAAGGTTCCCAAAGAGCTGCTGGTCCATAGACAACTTTCGAAGCCTGGAAATGCTGGTTCTGATGTCAGCAAAGGGATCAGCAGAAGCAACAGGGTAAGTCAACACATGGCAAAAGGGAAGACCAAGCAAGCAAAGGGTATGTAATCTTTCTGCCATACCCCATTTTTATCTGGGCTGCTACCAGAAGGTGCTGCCCACATCTGAGGTGGGTCTTCCCACATCAGTTAAGGCAATCTGGACAATTCTTCAGGAAAGACTCCCAAGTCTGGTGATTCTAATTTGTGGAAAGTTGACATTAGAACCAACCATCACACCATTACATCAGCTTCCTCTCTTAAATGAAATCAGGAAATGATAGTGTCTAATACACAGGAGCCAAGTCAGTGATGTGTGTTTTCTTCATGTAGACATAATCTACTTGGAGGAGAATCATTTAATAGAGGCTCTCTGGGAAATATTCCGTTTTCAATAATATTTGCACAGTTTCACTCAGTAACCCACTTTAATGAATCTTTTGGGGAGAATTATGAAACTATGTAAAAGAATGATCTACAGATAGCTTAAATAGCCAAAATTTAACGTCTTAAATACCCCCACAGAACAGAAATAATTACTCCATTTATAATATAGCCATATGATAAAATATTGGGCAAGAACCCTTTTCTGTCCAGAAATTTCAGACAGAAAGAATTAATATATTTTAGGACTGGAGAGACAGCTCAGCAGTTAAGAGCATGTGTTCTTCCAAAGGACGTGAGTTCAATTTCTAGCAATCACATCATGTGGCTGACAACTCCAGCTCCTAGGGGATTTAATGTTTTTGGTTTCCACAAGCATCTGCACCCACATGTGCATACCCACACACAGACACACATATACATGTTGTAGTTTGAGACAGAGTCTCACTGTGTAGCCCTGACTGGCCTGGAATTTGCTATTGAGACCAAACTCACAGAGATCCACCAGCCTCTGCCTTCTGAGCACTAGAATTAAAGGCATATGCTACCACACCCAGCTACACAGAATTAAAAAAAAAAAAGAACATGTCAGGATGTTAAGGCTAAGGCTAAGGTCTCAGGTGGAAGGATGGGGTGGGCTCTCTTTGTCTTTTCTTTTTTTGCCCCCTTTGTTTACTTTGAACCATTATTCAGAGAAAATCGATATCTTAAATTTTTAATTAATTTTATATAGCTGTATTTATATATACATATATATGTATATATATATATATGCCTCCTTTTTTTTGGGTCTTTTTGAGACAGGGTCTCCCTGTAGCCCCAGCTGTCCTGGAACTCACTATGTAGACCAGGCTGGCCTTGAACTCACAGAGATCCACCTGCCTCGGCCTCCCAAGTGCTGGGATTAAAGGTGTGCGCCACCACACCCAGCTTTATATTGGCCTTTTTGAGACAGGGTCTTCCTCTAGCCCCCAGCTGTCCTGGACAGCTGGCCCTCCCTCTGTAGACCAGGCTGACCTCATGCTTACAGAGATCCGCCTGCCTCTGCCTCCTGAGTATTGGAGCTGGAGTTAGGACAACTGTTAGCTGTCATGTGGGTGCTGGGTGTTGTGAAATATTTCACCAGAGAAGACCACTCAGACACAGAAATAGCCAAAAAAAAGTCTTTATAGCCAAGCTGGCAACTGCACTGGGTATTTGGGTCCCAAGTGCAGCCCCAAGCCCTTCTTAGGTAAAGCTTTTATACAGAAAAGCCATATCCAGGGGTGAAAAGTTTAAGTTCCCAAGTTTAGGGATGGAAAGCCCCCCTAACAATTTCTATTCCATAATAACAAGCCAAACAGAAAGTACAGAAGGCATAAATTTGCTGTTAGCAGGAGCAACCAGGTGCCTGCTGACCTGTTCTCAAACCCATACCTTGGTGCTGGGCCAAACTTTGAATCGACTGCCTCTTGGTTACAGTTGCTGGGAACAACTAGGGCTGCAACATGGAGTAGCTATGGTCAGTCTTGAGGTGCCTCATCACATGGGAACTGAACCTGGGTCCTATATAAGAGCAGCCATTGGTCTTAAGTGCTAAGCCATCTCTCCAGCCTCTAACTGTTATCTTTAAAAAAAAAATTTTTGGTGCTTTGCCCGCATGTAAGTGCACCAATGCAGCAATGCTTGTGAAGATCAGAAGAGAATGTCAGATCCCCTGGAAGTGAAGTTAATAATGGTTGTTAGCTCCCATATGGGTGCTGGGAACTGAACTTGGGTCCTCTGCAAGAGCAGCCAGTGCTCTTAACCTCTAGCCATCTCTCCAGTCTCCACTAACTTTTATTTCTTCATTATAGGTACATGTATGTGTCTGAGCATGGGTTGGTGCATGTGGGTGCAGTGCCCACCAAGATGAGAAGAGGCCAACAGATCCCCTGGAATAGGAAGTTGTGAGCCACCTGATGTGAGTGCTGAGACTTTAATGCGGGTCCACTATAAGAGTGATGTGCATTCACTCCTGCCTGTACAGGAGATTCCTCTTCTGGCCTCCTCGGGTACCTGAATACAATTGCACTTACACACAGACACACACTGTACATATAAAGATTTAAAAAAGGGAACTGGAGAGATGGCTCAGTGGTTAAAAGCACTGACTGCTCTTGCAGAGGACCCGGGTTCAATTCTCAGCACTCACATGGCAGCTAAGAACCATCCTTAGCTCCAGGGGGATCCAACACCCTCTTCTGACCTCCAAGGCATTGCACAACACGGGTGCACTCACATGCATGCATGCAATACTCTCAAACACATAAAATAAAAATAATAAATAAAAATATTTTAAATGATTAAAAAATGAAAAAATTTTCTTTTTTGTCTTTTTGAGGCAGGGTCTCCCTGTAGCCACAGCTGGACTAGATTCACTATGGAGACCATGCTGGCCTTGAACTCATAGAGATCTGCCTGCCTCTGTCTCCCGAGTGCTGGGATTAAAGGCATGCACTACCATGCCCAGAAGAAAAAAAAATGAAATATTTTATTTATTATTATTTTTTTGAATAGCAAGGACTGTTTATTGAAAGGGGGCAGATGGGATGGGCAGCCTAGGGCAACCGACCCAAATGGTGTGGGGACACCCCGCCCCCAGCATCCTGATGAGTATCTTTGTTCCCACACTGTTGGAACTTGGCCACCAAACACCCACATAAAGCTTCCAGGAGTGTGTGAAAATCCAAAAATCACAAATCTAGGTACAAATTCAGTCTCAGCAGCAGCAAGCACCTGGCTGCAGCCCTTCCTTTGTTGTGTCATCATCTATTTGGAGATAGAGGGATCCTTCTAGGGAAGGGCTGTTTGGTAAATGATCCCCCAGGGCTGTTGGTGACAGTCTGTGCCCCTCAAGGACCACAGCCTAGTCTACTGCTTCCAGGAACCCTCAGTCTATCAC